AATTCATAGACCAATCACGCTTCAGTAGGAAAATTACATAACTGAACTGATTCACTAAAAACATAGATCATCACCACCCATCATAAAAATTCTAAAAGCACATCTAAAATTCTCTTTTCCAAGCTTCAAGTGTTTTAGCATCTCAAAGGAAAAATAAAAGATGCCTACACAAGGTCTGGAAACAAGAGAAAGGTAATCAGTCACACCGCACAACAGTTAGTCCTCGTCCATTCCTGCAGGCTGATCTCTCCTTGCTGGACCTCCAGCCATTATAATCTACAAATGTTGAATCAATGGCATTGTTGAGCTTGGTGGAAGAAAATTTTCGGAAAATGAAAAATATAGATGTGATTCTAATCCCATTGGCATACAATTTCAATCGTTCTTTTCATTTTCAAGTTCTGTTTCTAGTCGCTTACCTGATCCACTCGTAGCACGGTGCAGGCAGCATCTGCAGCATATTTGAGAGCGAAAAACCTGACAAGAATTCAAAGATTATAATTTTGTGAAATGTTTATCATGAAAGTAACATAGGTTAATTTTTGAAGGAACAAAGAATAGATCCGAGCAAGAAAAGATGTGAATTGGCAATTTACTTGGTGACATAAAGGTCCCAGATGTTCATGGTCGAGACATCCTTGCAAACACCATCCTCCGAATCACCTCCCCTAAAGTCGATGCCCACTTTGGTATTTCCAGACGCATGCTTTTCATACAACTTAGAAATGATATCCATTGGATTGAGTCCAGCATTCTCTGCCAGGGTTCTCGGAACCAATTCAAAACTTTCAGCAAACTTAGCAATGGCATATTGATCCAATCTGCAAAACATTCGATAATATTAACAGCTTCTTTTAGTATGTATCTAAATCTACTATAAATTTCAAAACCTGCAGGAGATTTCTGGCAGAGCTATCAAAATGTCCGTGAAAAATGCGAGACATAAACAAGTAAAATAAAACAATGCAAAAGTTGCTTTAATTGACACATTGTCAGCACCATGTCTGAAGACATAGTGGTTCAGAGATAGAATGGCATGAAGCCACAAATATTTTCATGTCATTCATGCAAGCTAACACACAATCACGCAGGTCAAAGATAAAACATTACATGCAGAATGGCACTTTGCAACAGGTAAGAGCAGACGGGTTAAAAAATAGATTACCCCGTTTCCTTGAACGAGAACTCTTTCAGTCTTCTTGCCAACTCGACTTCGGTAGCTGCAGCCCCAGGTACTATACGACTGTCCCTGCACATTGCCTGACCAAAAAGGTTTGGAGCATTAAGAATGCAGTAATAATTCTTTCCATGAAATTTACATCAAAATAAACAGAAAAGACAGTTCCAGCAGGTAAGAATCGAATCCAATAAGGTTTACCAGAAGAAACAATGCAAAACTCTGAGAAAAATAAGTAGAAACAAATAAAACAACCAGAAAAGTCTCACCTTATATGTATTCACTCCATCATCAACGGCTCTTTCAAGATCATCCAATATACTATCAGTACTTCCTCGCAGAACCACAGTGGCAATTTTGTTACCACCTTCTTCGCTTCTCACAACAGTGACCTATATTAAAATGGCAATGCAAGATAAAGTGAGGAAAGGACAGGGAACCAAATATAACTACAGCCACCTCTTCAAACATACCCGAGAAACACCGATTTCATCAACAGAAACTGAATCGATAAATCCCAAATCATCTGGCTTTGGTTGGCTGAGTTTCAGCTGTCGGAAGAAAAAGGCCCTTTAGATTGCAATCAAAACATATGATCTGTTTTCTTATAACATAATCTAGATAGAATGCTCACAAGAGCAGCAGTGCCTGATGTGCGGCAGAAGCGTCGTAGTTCAAACTTTGAGCTGATTTTCAATACCATTAACCTGCACGAAAAATGAAAAAAAAATCCCAATCAGAAATGTTGAAGAAGACTGCACAAGCTCCAAATAAAAAATAATTATGATTCCAACAATAGGCCAATCTATCAACACATCATACTCGATATCAGGATTCAATCACATACCTAAGAATGCATATAAGCAAATCAAAACAAGAAAGAGCAAAGCATAGAGTTTGAAACATGGGAAGGAAGCTTAATATACTTGTAACGTTCACAAAAATGTAATGCCATTTCACCAACTGCTCCACCACTGACAATAATTTTGGCACCGGAATCAGCAACTGCTTTGATGAGCTCCTCAACCTTAGCTTATTCAGTTTTTGCATAATTCTCCAGCTGCAAGAAAATACCAAGAGAAAATTTCCACATTCAGACATACTTTAACCAACAAAAGCATCTTATACCAATTTACAAGATGTACAGATTGGCAGCACGAGATAAAAAATCGTAATGTATAAAAAATCACCAAATGGGAAAAAGAAGGCAAAATTATGTTTATTTTGCCTAAAGGCTAAAAACACATAATTTAAAATAACAGGATAAAAAGAATATCATAATTTACCTGCTCGGCGGAGTGAATTAATACAGTTCCTTTTGTTTCAGTAGCAGATGAATCAACACCACTAACAAACACAGCCACCTAACATTAAGTGAACAAAACAATACAAGTCAGAAAGCAACAAAAGCTTTTAACTTTGCCAATTGAGAATTGTCGAGCAACTTTTGCAAAACTTAATCAATGAGAAATGAGAAAGATAGAGAAAGACATTTGTACCTTCGCCTTTTCCACATGTTTTATACTTCCCACAGCATCACCTTTTAAAACCATTCCCAGAATTACCATACAATTATGCAAACCTCCTCCAACAAGCTTTACGACACGCACATTATCAATTAGCAGGGTTCTTAGGACAAACTTGGATGCATGCCTAATAATATAGAGAAATAAATTAATAAAGAAAATGTAGTTATGTTATCCTTCAAAAGGTAACAGATAATAGAGTAATTGATTAGTTATATAGAAGAGGAACAAGTTGCAAATTACATCGGCTATAAGGGAAGATAATATATCTTCCTGTCCATATTGTTTGTTAGCAACAGCAGCTTTCATTCGAGAAACAACTTGCTCTTTATTCCGAACATCCATATTTTCAGAACCTTTCTCCACAAGTTCCTCCAAGGCCTCAGTTGTCTACATATATTAAAACACGAAAACAGAATCCCAAGTGACTACCAAGTTTATCATCATAATTAACAATACTCGGGTCATTTAAATTATTTGGAAAAGCAAAGGTTAAACATTGGTAATTGCTTTAGTATATCCACTGATTATCTCACTCGGATGCAAGCCTGTCCGAATAAGCTCCTCGGCATTTTGGAGAAGCTCTCCCGCAAACGAAATTGTCAAATTAGCCCCATCACCAATTTCCTCTTGCTGAGCCTTACCTGCTAAAACTAAAATCTTGGCCGCCGGATGCTGAACTTCAAGCTCATTGACAATAGTAGCGGCATCATTGGTAACAAAGAGCTTGTCTAAATGATTAATAACCATCTTATTCATCCCTAAAGAACAGTATAACAAAAACATTAAAGCAAATAAGGCAATTGCACTAAGAGCAATCGATCCGGATTTCAAGATGAAAAAGGAACAATAGCAGGGTATCACTGATGACAGTAAATAAAAAGTCGAAGCAAATTCTGAAAAGAACACACTTGATCCGGATTTCAAACAGGACAAAAAGACTGCATAATTCAAATAAAAAACGTTAAAAACAGAAATTTGATGATCGAAAGGGTACCGTCGGGGCCGAGGGAAGTGCGGGTGATTGTCGACAGCTGCTTGCAAGCATCGATGTTTTTGAGAACAGCTTCTTCGAGACCTGAGAGATGCTTGTGACCTTCCTTCAGCATCGATTGTATGCCATAATTTTGCATAGAGAACGCCATTTTCTTTCCTTCCTTTTCCACTCGAATCTTAATCATAGAAGGTTATACTAAGAATCGAAACCCTAGAAATGGGGAAATTTGAACCTTTTTTGGATTTGAAGAATGAGATGAGCGAAGCGAAAGCGTGAGTCGGGCAAAAACATTTTTTTAAGTACAAAGTACTCAAATGGTGTTATAATATTTTATTTAGTCCCTCAACTATTAAAAAGTTATAAAATAAATTTTTAAATATATATTTATTATTTTCTTAAATCTTTTAACTATTAAAAATTATAAAATGATCATCTGATTATTCATATATTATAAATTTTATCATTTTTGTTAAAAAATTGATTGCAGTTTGAGTTGAACGTTAACTTGTTAATTGAAATATGATAAAATATGATCCTAAAATTTCAAACACTTATCATATCACATTCAGTATGATAATATCCAACTTCTATGATCATCAATATTTAAAGGAAAATGATGAGTTTGAAACATATGAACAATTAAGTGACAATTTTATAACTTTTAGTAGTTGAGAAATTCGATAAAGTAACACTATAAATGAATGATCATTTTATAACTTTTAACAGTTGAGAAACTCGTAAATCATTTTTTATTACTCAATTAAGCTTTATAATAAAACAGACAAAAAATGATACTTTAGGCACTAAATGCATAATTCACCCATTGAAATGCTACTACGCATTTAGTATCTAAATTATTAGTTTGGGTTCGTTTTAGTACTTAAACTTTTCATTTTTCAAGACTATACCTAAAATTTAATTTTTATTTCATTTTTAGTACTCCACTGTTAAAAACTTAACGTGTTTAGTATCTAAACTATCATTTTTTTTTATCCATTTTAGTATCTAAACTTTCATTTTTTTAAGTTAATGTTAAATTTTAAATGGGTACTAAAATGAAATAAAAACTATATTTCAGGTATGATTTTGAAAAAGGTGAAAGTTTAAGTACTAAAACGGATCAAACTGATAGTTTAGGTACTAAATGTGTAATTTATCCTAAATTAAAAAATTATTGATTCGAATGTATTAAAAATAAAAAGGGCTAATTTAGTAATTTAGTCTACAAAGAAACGGACCTCAAAGCCCTACTTCTGTGTTTATTGCTCAAGTATAAACCCTCGTAGAAAGAAAAAGAAAAATAAGAAAAACCCTGAGAAGCTCGGAGAGACAAAACAGAAAGAGAAAATAGAAGGAAAACGATGCGACCACCGAGAGGAGGAGGAGGTTTCAGGGGCGGAAGGGATGCTGATCGAGGGAGAGGAGGTGGCCGGGGAGGCTTTGGTCGCGGTAGTGGACGTGGCGGCGGCTGGTTTCGTGATGAAGGACCTCCTGCTGAAGTAGTGGGTTAGTGCTCTCCCCCACCCCCTTTTTTTATCGTTTGGATGCTAAGAAAGTGAGAGAAATGATAAAAGAAACCTTTTTTATGCAATGAGGATCAAGTAGGAACTTCATTTTATTTACTTATGAGTTTTCCTCTATTTCCCTTTGCATTATCTGTATATATTACCTATTGTTGGAACAAATTACATTATAAAATTATCACTAAAAGTGGCTAAATTGTTGCAATTAAGAGCTAAAATTTCGTTTTTTTCTCTTGGGTTTTGTGTATTTTTCTTTGATAATTACTTTTTCGTTCAGTTTCTCTGCATTTCTACATCCTTGATGAAGCCAAAATATAGTTCAAGAAAAATACCAAAATCAAATCATCATATTTACATTATATTCTGATTTTTTGTTAGTAAAACATATTAACTTGTCATCGTACTTGGACTCGGTGTATCCGACTTTTTTAAGGGTTTTCATGTATTAGTTGGACTTGCAGGGTTGTATCTTCAAATTCATGTCCGAGAATAAGGCGGATGCTTTTTAAGAAAAAGGAAAAGGTGAGGCAACAACTTGACTTTCCTTTGTTTGTTATATATGCAGAGGTATCTACATTCCTTCATGCTTGTGAGGGTGATGCGGTGACAAAGCTGACTAATGAGAAAATACCTTTCTTTAATGCTAACATCTATTTGCAAAACAAGACCCAGATAGGGAAAGTTGATGAGATCTTCGGTCCAATTAACGAATCTGTGAGTTTTATTGCTAATTTTCTAATGCATTGCTTGTCAAAATTGTTGGGACTTTTATATTTTAGGTGGTTTGTTTACTTTCTCTTGCTTGTTGCAGTATTTTTCGATAAAATTGTTGGAAGGTATTGTAGCGACTTCGTACAGTTCAGGCCATAAGTTCTATATCGACCCGAGCAAGCTTCTGCCTCTTGCAAGATTTCTTCCACAACCAAAGTATGTTTGCTTTTGTCTTGGATTTGTTTTAATTATATGCTCTACTATCTTCTATAGGGAAAAATAAAAAATAACCGAACCGGTTTAGTTCTAACACAGTCCAATGCTATAGTAATGGTTTCTTTTGAAAATCGAGTTCAAAGGCAGGGTCTGTTGGTTTTTAAATTGAAAGTTTCAGGGCATCTTGGGGTGGTTTTACTTTTATATAAGCTTTGCCTTGCTTGAACTCTATAATATGTATTTGGTTTCATCGATAGAATTTTGGAAATGGAGATCCAAGCTTAGGGTTAGGGGAGTTCTCTATTTCCTGTCTGTTCTGAGTGCTAGAACTCGGTTAAGTTTGGGTTTGAGATGGATATTGGGTGAAAATATTTGAAAACCGTGTGGGAGGCAGGGCGGACAAAAAACTGCGCCAACCTCTTGTGCCATCTTTCTTATATGATTTGATTTAATTTGCAAATTCTGATCATACTTCTTATTCATACGATCATATCATGCATTCTGTCTATGTTGTAGGGGACAGGCACAAGGTGGCGGAAGAGGTGGTCGCGGAGGAGGCAGAGGTGGCGGTAGATTTGGTGGCCGTGGAGGTGGTGGGTTTCGTGGGAGGGGTGCCCCAAGAGGTGGCAGAGGTGGTGGCCGTGGTGGTGGATTTAGAGGCAGAGGGAGATTTTAGAGTAATAGCGCTTTGTAACAGTACCAATACCCTTTTCTGCTATCTTTTTCGATTCCATGGGCATTCAACTTTGAAAATTTTGATTCCGGACTTGACTATGACTCTATCATTGTTCAACGCAGATGTGTTTATTTTGTATCTTTGTTTATCCAAAGTACTATACTCGATTTGATTATTATTATATTATTAAATGTAAGGGTAAATTATATTGGTAGCCTCTGAACTTTTAAGATTTTTGTATTTCGGTCATTGGAATTGAAGTCAATGAGTTTTTAATTTGTTTTCATTTTAGTCACCGTATGACAGATATGACATGCTGACATTACTTTATTAATATCCTCTAGTAAAATGATAACAAGTGCTGTCATCTTATTGGTGAAAAATTGGAGAAAATATGTATGCCTTTGTGAGTAAAAGACACTATTACACTCATTTAATATATATATTACAATCATATTTAAACACTTGTAAAATCTGAAAACCGTGAGCAGATTACATTCACTTCCATAGTGTAAAAAATTCTCCCCAAATACCTGCAAAATCGACAAAAACAAGGGGTTGCGAAACCGACGAAACGGCAACCCATAACAGATGAACGGCAAAATGAACATTCGGAAAACAAAAAACACATCTACTATGTTGCCGGCTGACTGTCTGGAACAAATTCTTCAGGCTGGCTATTAATGTCTTGAGAGGCTGTCAGTTTAGCCTTCTTGTAACTGCTTGAATTCCGAAGGATTGCATGCAATGACATGCTCTTTGGGCTGGAAGATCTGCTCAAATAGATCAAACAATAATACAATATTCAGAGTATACGACACCATCCAATGGAAATAATTGAGATAAAACATAGCTAAGACTATGAGCTTTGATGGATGTTGGACTTATTGCAACCCCTACGTGCGCGTATCGAGTACATATACGTATCTAAAGTTACCTCAAACTTAGCCAAGAGTTTCTAAACCACAAATTATGCAACATCTACCTCTTTAAACAGATGGTATTTATCAATGTTAATTCAAACTTACCCTGGTTTTTGTTTCTTTCTTCCACCAGTGTCTTCGCCTTCGGAGTTACAAGATCCTATTATCAAAATTCAACATAAAGAGAAGAAATCGTCACCCTATGCCACCCAGATCACGATCCGTAACAAATAAAAATGAACAAAAATGATTCAACAAGTCAGGCACATAGAGAGAGGGTTGGTCAGAAGTAATAAAGAATATGAATTACCATTTTGTGACAAACTGCCCTTCGCTATACTATTGCTTGAATAGTCGGATGACGATGAACTATCAGATGGAGTTCTGGTGCTGGAATCCGAGTTGCCTACTCCATCTTCATCATCAGAACTCTCTTTATCATCATGCCTAAATATGGTAACAGTAGTAGCAAATAAGCTCTTCTTATTTGCTAAGCTGTTCGCGACTTTCCTGCTATTAGTTCCAGTAGCTTTTGCAATATCCACATGAGACTGCGGTTCACTACCTCCTTTCTTTGAATTAATGGTCTTTTTAGGTGTTTCAAAAGGCTCCTTTTTTTGTTTGAATTAATGGTCTTTTTAGGCGTTTCAAAGGCAGAGCTTGATACAGCACGAGGGTTGTTCTTCTTTAAATCTGTATGCACCCTTGAAGAATTGACATCAATGGGCCTTTGAGCATTATTAGGAGCGGAATCGATTTTTGCAGATTTCTTAGACTGTGGAGGTTCTTTCGCAACAATTTCAGGAATGGTCAAGAGTGGTCTACTTGATACAACATTGGAGCTACTAGGTTCAACCTTCGATGATGATCTTTGAGATTGGTTAGAGCTGGCTTTTGCAGCTGGAGTTTTTACTTCCTTGTCTTGATCCACATTTAACATCTCCTAAGATCGTAACTCAGGTTTAGAGTTCTTCCTCCTTTTTCCTTTCACTGCAGTTTCCACTCCTGTATTTTGTGCAGCCTTATCAATGATTACCTCACTAGAATCAACAGTGTCACGATGCTGTTGGCTTTTGACCGTTTCACTTCCACAAGGAACTTCTTTGTTGTTATTAGAATTCTCTGCATTAGTGCTTTTAGTGTGATCTAGACTGACAACATCTTGAACAGACCTTCCATCATGTTTCCGTTCAAGTGTAATTTGGTTAGATCCCAAATTTGTTCCATTCAATTGCACAGAATCACTGTTTACAGTCTTCCTTGTGGATTTAGATGAGGCACTCAACTCAGTCACATTATGAACCAGAAACGTTGGATCCTGATGATCAACATAATCTTTTCCTTGCAATTCTGGAGGGGCCATCACAGTAGAACTTTTATTCTTAGTTTTCTTCTGCAATTTCGTGCCCGTGTTTTCTGCATTTTCTGAGGCATTGTCGCATCGCTTCAAGGACTCCAGCACATCTTGAATCACATCATCAGCTTTCATGTCAGTAACTGAAGGCGAACAGTCAGGTTTTTCCATGTCTGATTCCTCTTTTCCATCAGTTTAGCCCGCTTGCTCAGCGTTATCACAAAAATGCTCACCAGTCACAATAGGACACTCGGCAGGAGATATACCACTTGCAGGAATGATATTATGTACTGCATCTACTGCTTCTGTTCAACAGCACCCTTATTCATCTTGGACTTGTTCACTTTCCTGGAAGACTTCTTAGGTTCCACAATTTTCTCTTCCAAGGTACCCTCTGATTTTCATCCCCTGATACCCCAAATGCTTTCTGGAAATTAATTCCCACTCGAGACAAAGGTGTAGAATGACCATCCGCATAACTGGAATTCTGATCATATGAATCTCTCGTCTTTATTACTGATGCAACATCGGGTTGGGGTGGTTCATTTTTTTTTTTTTTTGCTTTCCGAGTTGCCATCATTAGTTTCATCCATATCATTGTCACCTGCTAAAATCATTATGCCTCAATTCTAGTAATCATGGAATCGAGAGTGAGAATACAACTAAAATGGAAGGGGAAAAGACTTAAAATCCGCTGCATATATATCGAAACTTACCCCCAGCGTGGGCCACTTTATTTGTTTCACTAACATCTTGCCTTTCACTTGGAGAGATCAAACAAGGTTCAGATATTATTCCACCCATAGAACGTTTACCAAGAAATGAATCTGGATCAGGTTTACCAACTGAATCTTTGTCTTTGGCCACATGAACATCTTTTGCAGAGGAGACTTCATTACCAGATTGACCAGGATTCGAACTTTGCCTTTTCCTTTTCTTCCTCCCACCACTTGCATCGGCAGTTGACAAATGGTTTTGTTTCACAAATTCAGTGTTCAAGTGGTCAAAGACAGAACTAGTATTGCCGAGTTTTTGACCATACGTGCACTCAGAGATTGCAGTATCAGAACCAGTGGCTTTTTCTCCATGTTCTATTAAAGAAATTCCATTACCATCTTTCCTCCCGGCTTTGCGCATTTTCTTTGATGCAGGCCCAGTTTGTAGGGTATTTTCTTTGGACTTGTATTGCCGGTCATTGTGAGAAACATCTTTATGTTCTTTAGTTTCCAATTCGGATTGTTCTCCTGGAACCTTTGTTCCCTCATCACCCGTCCTTTTCCTAGCGACTAACCTCTTATTTCTATCAGATGACAAACTTCCAAGGCTTTCATCAACCCGAAGTTGGTTTCCCATCATCCCATCATTCTGAAACGAATTTTCCTTCGGAACATTGCCCGAATCCGATGCATCTTTCACAGACCCGACAACTAAAGCACCATTTTTCTTCAAATCATGGTGGATGACATCTTCTTTTCTGTTTTTCGTTTTCATCTTTGTAGCCACAGAAGCTGGCAGATCTTCATATATTTTGTCTTCTCCAACATGTTTTGAGTTTACCATCGGCATTGACCCCTTATTGGTAGCAGGGAAAGAAACCTGAGAATCACTATCAGCCACATGTTCAGCTTCCTTATGCAAACCTTCCGAATTTTCTTTAGTGGAATTGCTAAAACCAAAATAATATTCAAAAATTAATTAATACACCGATAAAAGTAATTGTTCGAATTTAATAACTTTAACCAGAATAATATTTTCTTTTACTAATAAGTCTTTCAATATATTCAAAAATTAATTAATATTATAGGGTATATACACTCTTTTGAAAGAACAAATGTTTTGGTAAACTATTCTAATAGTATCATTTGTTTTCAGTAAAAAATTAAGGGTATACGATTCCTAACACTATCGATTCGTTCGATTTTAGTACCTCAGACGTTTACTCTCGTTCGATTTTAGTCTCTCAATTATGCCACATATTTGTTAAGGGTTAACGGAAAATGAATTTAAACCGGACAGATCGATAATGTTAGAGATAATTTACCCTTAATTTTTAAATTAGTGAATAAAATCATACGACCCTGAACAAAAGGGACTATTTACATATTTTACCCAAAATATTAAGTTGAAAATTAATAATTTTTATTTATATGAATTAATTGAACTTCTTTACATTCATAAATAATAATTTTTAGTTGTTTTAAGTGTGGTATTCGTACTAAACATTAAAATACCATTAAGTTTATGGTAAACTTTGTATTTAGTACCTAAACTATTAGTTTTGATATGTTTTAGTATTTAAACTTTCTATTTTTTTTAAAATCATATCTAACGTTTAGTTTTTATTTCATTTTAGTACCCATTAAAAATTTAACGCATTTAATACCTAAACTATTAGTTTTGATCAGTTTTAGTACATAAATTTTCAATTTTTTAAAACTTAACGTTAAACCTTGAATGAAGATTCTAAAAAAAAAACTAAAGTTGTTTAACGGTAAGTACTAAAATGAAACAGAAACAAAAATTTATTATGATTTTGAAAAAATTGAAAGTTTAAATACTAAAATGAATTAAAACTGATAGTTTAGGTTTAAACGCGTAATTTACCCTTAAGTTTAAATATTAGTATGAAAAAAATTATCAGTGATCAAATTTAGACTAAAAGAGGATTTATCGCTTTCTAGTAAAGAGAAATAACTAATTTCCCTTCCTCCTTCCCCTGTCTACGCCGTGTTAAGCCTCCCATCAATTATCATCTTTTTACCATTTTTTCCCACTCGCGTAATAAATGCGGTTTCTCTTTTTATTTCCTCTATTTCTCATAAAAAAAGGGGAAAAACGAAGAATTAAACTTGCTTTTCATCAAGCATAGTTCTTTATCTCTCAGGTACTTGCCCATC